AAGAAATGATTAGGACTCTAGCACCAAATCCAAGGGCCTTTCTTGCAACACAACTCTATAACCACTGTTTATTTTGTGAAACTTTTTTGCGGATGCCAAGAAGTATGATTCTCTGAAGAGGCAATGAGACCTGTAGACAGACAGGTCATGAAAAATGAAAGGGAGAGTGGAGAAACTTTATTTCCTTAAAGCCATTTTCTTCTATTTGATCACTATTTTAGCACTTTTGATTTTAACATTTAAGTTTTTATTTCTGTTAATGTCAATCTTTTAATCTGATCCTAAAGCGGTTAGGCTTAAAATGATCTCATTCAATAGTAAAACAAGAGATTTGTTGTGTGGAATTCTATAAAGTTTGTCAATTAATTTACCTTATTGCTCTCGAGGACTGAGGTAGTGTGAAATAATGGCAAATTTACTGTACGTGAAGACAGGGTGGAGTCCAGGCCTATTTACTTGCTTTCTTGATTCTAGGTAAAGTCACTTAATTTTGCTGGGTCTTTGCTTCACTCAGTTTTAAAATATCATTAATGTTACACCAAGAACTGAGGTAAGAAAATAATAAAAACAATCAAAGGTAGCCAGCTGGAAAAATTTGCCAGACAGTATATACTGATATAATTTATGAGTAAGAGTATAAAAAAATGTATTTTAGTAGGAACTTTAGGGAGAAAGAAAATGTCATTGTGACTTTTATAAAATCAATGAACTTGGGAAATGAAAAATATGTGTAGTGGGGAAACCATTTAACTCAGTTTTGTGTCAGAAAAATACAGAACAAAGACAGCAGATAGTTAATAGCTTCAAGTGAACAAAAACTGCCTTTATATACTTGAGGGAAATGGAAATACAACAAACAACAAAAATTATAAGGAAGAGTTCAATAATATTTTAATGGTTGAAAGATGTTGAATTATTTTGGAAGATAAAGAACTTAAAAAAATAGTTCCACAGACATAATTTTAAGAAGTAAAAGTATCACATCCGTAAAACTTATAGGTAATCTATAAGTTTTCCTATTTTGGAAAGAATCTACCTCAAGTATAACTCATTTGGTGGCATTACTTTACCTGAATTTCACTGCCCAAATGTGGATAAGAAAGAGATACTGGAAAACTGTGTATTTCAGAAATTAAGCATTGGAAATTAACAGCACACTTCACAAGAGAGGAATCAAAATGCAAGCTGATATATGAAAAGGTCCTAAACAGCATCAGTGATTAGGAAATGGGAGCTCAAACCACCAGGCAGTATTATCCTACATGCTCCAGGGCAGCAAAATGAAAGGCTGGCAGCACCCTGCTGCAAGGTGTGCGTACCGCAAATCGTGCCTGGCTGATGGGAGTGGGATGCTTTGGAAAACAGTGTGGCATTATTCATTCAAGCTTATGGTATACTCTCAAGGACAGACTGTACAGAAATGGATGTGGCAGGGATAGACAGCATCTAGGAGGAGTCACAGAGTTTGTAACAGCCCCAAACTGCATAAGCCACACGTCCATCAACTACAGAATGGCTAAACAAACTGTCACATATCACTGCAACGGAACATTCTGATAGGCATAAAACAATCCAATTATAGCTATAGGAACAATGTGAACACTGTATGGATTAAAAGTGTTAAGCAAATGCAGGGAGCACAGTGCATTACATACTGTTTCACTTACATAGAACTCAAAGGAAAGGACAAAATCAAACAATATATTGCTTAGAACACATGCCTATGAAAAACCAAGAAAGTCAAAGAAACAGTGATCACAAAAGTTAAAGGGGCTACCTCTTAGTGTTCTTTTCTTCAGGGAGGTCACCATGGGGGCCTCAGGGTGCTGACAATATTTCCCTGCTGCTTGACTGCTTCCAGGCTTCTTTCATCATTACCCATTATACTCTATAATTATTTTATGCATTTAAAGTATATTTCACAAAAATGCTCAAAGTAATTGATATATTAGAGGGGAAATTTGCCAAATAACAGCATACTCCAGTCACTGACAGTAGAAACCACTGATGTGGGATAATAAAACACTGATTAGTGAATCACCAGGGCTCACTTTCAAGTGTAGGTGTGAACCTTGTACAAATGCCCCTTTGTTATATCTTATTAACATAGTATGCAGATCTTTATCATACCTTTATCAAGGACAGAACTGTCACCTGAAACTTCACAGTGTTTTTAGGATTTTTGAACTGTTTTCTCCTCTGGGTTAACAAGTGACATAAGGAACTAAAGAGACGCAGAATGAGTTGGAAATGTATGAATTTACCCCTTTCCAGAGGCCAGCTCTCACCATTTGTTATCACTCTGGGTGGCAAGGTGGGTGGCTTTTGCAGGAGGCTAGTGCAGCTCAGGGCTCTCCAGTGCCATTCTGTCCCTCTCCAGTCAGGTTCCAGGGTGGAACCACTGACAATGGAAGCAGATGATGAAGCCTTTCAAAGACCCTGCATGGTGCTCGCTTTCCTAGAAGTGTTCTGTAGTGCGCTGTGGAGCTCTGAGGATTCTTTCATGAGTCCACACAGCTTAACCTATGACACGCTGCACTTCACAAAATCTCCTACAGTTGTTTAACTCCTATTTTCCACTGTTTTGCTGTTGTGGGATATGCAAGAGGGGCAAAGGCAGAAAAGATTTTGTAGCCATGTGAGGCCACAGTTTGTTGACTGATTCCCTGTGAGACTTAGTTGACAAGATATAGCAGGTGACTAGGTCACGTTAATACCCTGGATGCCGGCGTAATTTAGGCAGGTTAACTGATCCTTGGATCTTAGGGTCAAGGGCAGGAGGATCAGGGGCAATTTTGAGTCTCTCCTTCTTTTGCAGGTCGTTTTTTTCCCCCTCCTATCTACCTCTTCTGCATCACTATAATAATGAGATCCTGTATTTACCCAGTTAAGTTCCCTTGGCCTACTGTTTTGCATATGGTGGTGAAAAGCAGTGGCAGAAACTCTGGCATCCCAAATTTGTCTGTAATGCAATTGCTTTTGCCCACGCTCCACAAAAGGTGGAAAGATTTGTAATATCCATCGCTGAAGTTTCCAGGAGAGGTAGGGTCCAGCGACACAATTGTGGCATCTGTTTCCTTTCACCATTGCCACTGTTTTGATCTCATTATCACACTACTCAGCAAGAAAGTAAGTTTAAGACAGATTGAGGATTCTAGTCTTTTTATCTTAAAAGTTTCTTTTCCTAGAAAACTATACTTAAGTTTCATCAACTTTTACCTGCATTTACTTCCCAATATAACGATAGGTTAAGGTACATAATCGTAGTAATGTTTATTTCACAAAGAAAATAATGACCCTTAGGTTAGACCTGAAATGCAGGCCGAAATTTCTTGACGCCGGAAGGGACAAACGCTTCAAACCAAGAGCAAAAACGATAAACAGTGAAACACTACTAAATTCTCCCTCCGGCGACTCCCGGAGGAAGGCTCCCTCTCAATCCTCCTTTCCTCACTCCCCGGGAACTCTTTTCCACTAAAAACTCAGGTTGGGGCTCCCTCCTGAAGCCTCACCCGTTTCCTTTCATGGCTGGGGCACGGGGAGGGGATAGTAGTACTAGAATTCTCTTCTTTCCAAAGCGTTGCAGTTTACAGAGCTCTTGCACTTTCATATTCTTGAAGAGTTCCGCGAGGGCCATGCGAAAGAGGCATTCGTTCATTCAGCAAACCTTTGCTCGGCCCTACCGCAGGTAGTTCGGGTCTAGGTCTCAAACCCGCGCCACGGGAAGGGCGGGGCGCTCGTTCCCTGGAGCAGGTGTAATGATCGCGCTGGAGAACACTTTCTCCATGAGGTGGCTTTTCCAGGGCCTGTCTGGGGCCAGACGCCTCACCTTGCGCGCCAGAGCCCAACTCCAAAGCCTAGGCCTCTTTTTCGGTCTCAAAGGAGTAGTGGCCACCTGTCCCGAAGGAAGCCGCTATGGAGCACGCTCTCGCTGCGGCCTCGGGTCATGGGTAACATCGGGCGGCAGCCTAGGCTCAACTGGGCTCCTCCCCTTCCTCTCTTCAGTTCTGACGCGGCCGTAGAGGCGGCGGCGGTGGCGGCAGCGTTAGCAGCGACTCCCGCGGCCCGAGGCGCACCCACCCGCTCGCGGATCCTCAACTTCCTCTTCCCTTCTAGCGTCATCAGCTCGCGCCACAGTCGCCCGGGGCGGGGTAGGCGAGAGGAGGAAAAAAGGCCCGCGGAGGAAGCCTCGGAGCGGAAAGAATAGGAAGGAGGGGAGGAGAGCGGTTGCTAGGCGACTTGCGTCATCAGCAGGCGCCGCTTTCCTCCCGCCCCTCTCTCTGGAGTGAGGCGAGAGCCCCGCACAGAGCGAGGGAGATAGCGAGCGGAGCTCCGGGCGCTGCCGCCACTGCCGCTGAGAGAGTGAGAGCGAGGGAGCATCCGAGGGACCCCGCTTCGGTGCACTGGCCGCCGCCAAGCCCTCAGCCTCAACCTGGGCCAGCGGGAGCCGCGGCCGTCCTCCTCTCCCCCCCTCACCTTCCCGGCCGGCAGCGGCTGCTGCACACGCCAGAGCCGGAGCCGGAGCCGGAGCCGGAGCCGGAGCCGGAGCCGGAGCCGACGGCTGGGGGCAGGGAGGCGGCTAGCGCGGGTCGGGACTGGAAGCTGCTTCGTGGTGAGAGGACGCCGAGGAGGGGCTGGAATTGCTGCCTCGTCCCGCGGCGCGGGGCGAAGAACCTCCGAGGTGTAGTGGGGAGGGGGTCCCGGCCGCAGCGACACATGCGGGAGCCGGGAGCGGGGGCGGCGCCGAGCGGAGCCGGCCGGGTCCCCCGCCTCGCCGCCGCCTCGGCCACCCGCCCGGGGCCGTAGCATCTGGCCCCGGAGTGTATGAGCCGGGGCCCTGCGCTCAGCAGCCACCCCCGCCCGGGGGGGCGGGGACCCCGATGTGAAGCGGCGGGACCGGCGCCCCCGTCCTCTCCTAACCTTCCCCCTCCCCTGCGCCCCCTCAGGGGGTCTTCTCCCTCGGCCGGTCGCCGGCCCCCCGGCTCCTCGGCAGGACCCCGGGAGTTCTGAGAGCCCCCTCCCTGCCCCGGCCCCACAGGGCGGCGGGGCCGGGGGGGACCCGGGGGGCCGGCTGCAGCCTCTGTCCAGAGGAAACTTTATAAAAACACCATCCGGAGTGTGCCAGAGGTGACTCTCGCAAACGTGACTGTCCCGGGACAAGTGGCCCTGGCAGGACAGAAGCCACAGCCTGAAAAGACCCAGGAAGAGGAAAAGAAGAGGTGAGCGGGGCCGCCTCCTCCTCCTCTCTGCTGGCAGCGCGGAAGAGACCCGGGCGGCCGCCTGCTCGATCAACTCGAGCCGCTTCTTCCTCTGTTCCGCGCCGGAGCCTTGCGCAGCTGCTGTCTCAGTCCAGAGGAGGAAGGGAACCAGCCCACTTTGTCGGCGCCTGGCTTTGCCCGAACGCGTGAGTGGCCCGGGGAGAGAGGTAGAACGGGTGGGAAGCGGGAGCACGTTGGTGCTCCGATCTGGGGTTTTGCCGTCTTCCCCGGAGGGTCGGGAGTATAGGTGAGAAGTAAATATATACGTTTGTTTCTTTTAGGAGGGAGAGGGTTAGTTAGGTAGTGTTTTTGTAACCTTTAGTTTGCAAGAATAATGCAACTATATAGTTTTCTGTTAGAGGAGTTCAATCCAGAATGGATACTTACTTACCGTTCTGGCCAAGAATCCTCAAAGGAAAATTGAGGAAGCCAGAGAGTGTAGGTGTACACAAAGGACATCTCTGTGATGTACCTTTTCCTGGTACATCTGCGGAGATGCAGCGCTGCGTAGTTTTTGTTTCTGGGAAACTCCTATGGATTCCCAAGTGGGAAATACTTACAGGCGAGCTCCCGGCACTCTGCTTTTTGCAGTCTTTAGCGAGAAAAAGACTGGTTTTCATTTTATTACCTATTGTACGATGATAGTGTTGTAACACATTTCAGTTGCTCAGGAAATTTTGAGCTCTTATGAATTGCATGGGGCAATGCTTTTGTTGCATTAAACAGTTTTATAAAGTTGTTACATTTTCTTCACTCCAATTTTGAAAAAGATTTTTCTTATCAATACTGAATTCAAGAATGACTTTTTCTTTCTATTATTTTCAAGTTGAAGCCTGTAAAATCTGCGACGTGTTTCGACTGTCTTTCTAGAGTACCAGATTAGAGGTGAGGTGTGTTAAATGAACGTTTCATAGATTCGTATGGACTTTAAGGGTTAAACATTGAGTGGAATTCTGTGTTAAGAAGGCATCCGGCAGTATTAGAATGAGAATTCTGGCCCATCTAGACAGTGCATTTGTTGGCTGACTCGGAAACCACTGCTAAAGATGCTTTGTAGGGTTGAAGGTACACCTGGGATTGTCTGTTCTAATTTTTCCATTTAGGAGCATGATTAAATTTATTTAAAACATTATCAAACTTAACGGTGGTTTGTTTCTGTACCTTTTTAAAGCAAGGAGTTTTGTAAGCTTATTAACCTTTGTGTTATGTAGCAACCCATTTACTTACCTCAAACCTGTCTGCATAAAGTTTCAGAACACAGTCAGTTTGTGTTTTGAGAAATGCTAGAACAGGCCTGAGTTTATCTTTTCTTACTTTTGTAGGTTTTCTTTCCCAACTCTTTGTCTGAGAATTTTTTCCATTTCTTTGACCACTTTGCTTTACTGTGAAACTTCTCCAACTATTATGCTTTTTCTACAGTGCCTTGTTCTTTTTGTGATTTTAAAAATAAGGTACCTCAAAACTGTTTTAAAAAGAACTGACATGAAAATACTGAATAGTGGATGTAAGGTTAGGTTTAGAATCAGAAACAAGTTTTTTGTTTTTTGGTCATATATTCTGTTTTTCACAAAGATGATGGAGTCTTGCATGGGCTATTTTTTGGGCAGGAAGGGGAAAATAAATCAAGAAACTAGTTTGAGTGTAGATTGCCCTTGGTCAAATTTGCTTACTAACTTTTAAGACCTTCTTTCATTGCTTTGATTATACTTGGTTAAAAATTGTAAAGTTTTATTGAATATTTGGCTGAAAATGATAAACTATTGAGCAGGAGGTCTCTGTGGTGCTTTTACGTTGCCTTTACTGGCAAAGGCAATCATACAATTGTATATAACTGAAAAGGGCGATGTACTAATATTAATTGAAGTCCACTATGTGCTGAATGGTGCTTGTTTTCTTACAGTTATGAATACATTTGTACATTTTTTACTAGGGAAATGTTGGTTTGGGACCACACAGGACTAACTGGAATGTCTGAGCAAATCTGGGAAGGTCTGTTTTAGGAAAAGAAGAGCTTGTAGGGACAAATGATCTCAGACTTTTAGAACCGAGGTGCAAGGGACAAATGTCATGAGTTCAGCTTGGTGGGAATACCTTCAAAGGGAGCTTGTTAAGTAGGACTGGAGTCAGTTTGTATTTGTGTAGATGCATGGTTACAGTCCAAAGAAACATTTGGCCACAGTGTTCCTGAAAGGGTAGTTTCACATGTTTTAGGGAGAGATTACATTGTAGGCCAAAAGCATTATGCCTAGATTAGGATTTTGTTTTTCTGAAGAACCCATATTATTATACCTTGGCCATCAAGCGGGTACACAGGAGGAGTGGAAAAGGAGATGCTTGCAGTTTTTAGTATGGTGTTATAATTTGTCATAGTAATTAGAAGTGGAACAGTAGACTTTGTTTTGGACATTAAATTCTGGGTTCAGAGTTAGATACTGATACAGTTTCAAGACAGTGACAATGTAGGATGTCACATCCGGCTCAAGTGTTTAGGTTTCTGAGAGTGCTGATGGAGAGCAAAGAGCTGAACAGTAGGTATTACTGTTTCTTGGGGAGAGGAGTCTGTGATAAAGGGAGTAAAAACAATTGAGAACCAACAGAGGCTTGACCAGACCCTCCCCAAAAGAGACGTTGGAAAAGTGGGTGAGCATTGTAGTTGTAGAGGGAGGAGCAGCCTTTATACATGGCTGTGAGTTTAGACACAGGGCATAGGACTGTGTTTTTTTGAAATAGTCACAGATTCTTTATTTATTTTTTTAGTACTGAGGTTCGAACTCATGACCTTGTACTTGTCAGGGAGGCACTTAGGCTGTTGAGCGGACTTCATTGTTAGGGAACTTAATAAATAAAAGGGAATACATTTCTCCAAATTTATGTTTTTAAAGTTAGCCTTGTGTTACTATCTTAAGTTTGGTCTGCAGAGTAGTGCTAAAAATAGCTGACAGGGAAGCTGCCTCCCTGCTCACAGTCGGTATACGTCTTTGTGTCCCATACAATAGAGGGGATGTCCCTGTGTTGGCACAGCAGTGTTGAAAATGTTTTAAATTTTAAAAACTTTATTAAAACAAACAACTTGGCACTTAAAAGATCTTTGTGGCTAGCATTTGGCGTTAACTTTAAAGATTGTAAATAAAGATACATACTTGGACTTTTCTCTTTTCCTTCATTTGCCTTATGTACCTTTCCTGGAGCTTCTTTGGCTTGGCAGAACCCTCTTGGGAAGGAAGAGGTGTTTAGACAGGGAGGTAGGTCTAAGATGAGTCTAGGGTAAAGGGTTTGGGTAGGAATGTATTCTGTAGGGAACCTTCTACCTTTTTCCCCATGTTCTACAATATTTCTTATGCAGATGAGGCCATATAGCTTGGTATGTTTAGATGAATTGTAAAAGAAAACCTTTCAGGGCTAATATGATTTACTAAGGCAGAAAGACAAGTGGGACTCCATGGTAGGAGGGAGTGGTAACTTTTGGGTGACTTGCAACATGAGATGATTGAGAACCTTGAGAGTTGTGTTTCTGTGCATCTTAGTGCTAAATGACACCAAAGTCTTATGTGTAGGATACCAGTGGTGCTTGCTGTTGTGTCTTGGAAAAGTCTTGTGGTACTTCTGACATCGAATGATGTAGAGGAAGTGTTGGCCAATTGATATTTTAGGTTTGTGGGTCACATTTTTTCTTGAAGTGTGCAAGCAGTCATAGACACTACAGAAGCACTGTGAGACTGGGTTTCAATGAACTCTCGTTTGTAAAAGCAAGAGGCACATTGATTTGACCTCTAAGTTGTAGTTTACATGCCCTGGGTATAGATAACTGCCAGATCTACCAACATGAAGAATAAGCTTCATTACAAAATGAGGACCTGGTGTGCTGGTATTTTTAGATCAGATGTGTGCGTCCAGGTTGTCTTACAATACTTCTGTGAAAACAGAGTCTACCATTCAGTATACTTTTGCCTTTATAGTGGTGGCAGCTGTGGCTTGAGGAGTAAGGGTGATGCCATTTCTAGGGGTACAGTTAACGTGTGTTCAAAGATGCCATCCTTGGCAATACAGGGGTGTACTGGTTTTGTGTCATGGCCAAAAGTGTCTGCAAAGAAGCTTATGGACTCTGATAATAAATCATAAGACATTTATTTTGAATGTAGAGCTAAAAGTATTTATGGTTAGTTTCAATAAGATAATGATAATCAAATTATAAAAACATTAAGGTTTAATACTTATACCTTTTAAAGTCTTAATCTCTTGCAGTGGCAAATTCGGTGTATGGATTTACTGACTTCACAATTACTTTTGTTTTGTGGATTTCAAGTATTAACATCATTTAAGTGTGTATTTATTTATTTCTCTATGTTTTTGAGACAGGGTCTTGCTGTGTAGTTCAGGTTGCCCTAAACTTACTTTGTAGCCCAGGCTGGTCTCAGACTTGCAGTGCCCCTCCTGCCTCCACCACTGGAGTGCTGGGATTACAGGCATGCACCACGATGCCTGGCTTAAGTGTGTATTTTAGACAGCCCCCCCCCCTCCTGTGCAGTAAAAGCTGGCTTTGAACTCTGTATGTTGCCCAGGCTGACCTTGAACTTACAGTGATGCATCTGCCTTGGGTCTCCTGAAAGCTGGGATTACAGGCATATGCTACCACGCCTGGCCTAGCTTTGCTGCATACAGATGTTTTGTCCTGAAAGGAATTCACTTTGTGTAACTTTCACATTACAGTTAATATCAAAATACTTATTTCACATGTCAGAAATACCTGTATTGATGATGGTATGTTTACCCTAGTTTCATACATATGATGTCAATGTTCTCCTATTTATTTCAAGGAAGGAGACTCTTCTTGCAGTGATGATTGGTTTTTAATTAGTTTTAAACTTGAATTTATATTGTATAGTCATCCCCTTGTGTCTGGGAAATTGGTTCTGGGACACTTGTGAATACCAAAATGTCACACAAAGTAAATTAGTTTTTGCATATAAATTATACACATCTACCCATATACTTCAAATCATCTTTAGATTGTTTATCATATCTAATACAATGTAAATGCTATGTAATAGTTGTTACACTGGTTACAGGGAAGGAGTAGAAACAAAATCTATATTTTCTGTATAATACACAGACATTTTTTCCTAAATATTTTCAGTCTATGGTGTTT